CTGAACCTTTCATCCAGATAGTTTTTTCTTTCATTATTGTTGAAAATTTCAAAGTATGAATTAATCATTTTGATTTTGATTATGGAAAGATTTTGATGTTAGGTCAATTGTTTGGTTTGCATGCGAAGCGAATTGCAAAAAATTATTTGAATTGTGAATCGATTTGAAAATTCATTTGGCGTTGGACCAAAGATTTATAACTTAGAAAATATTTATTACCATTATCAATCATCCATTTAATTTAATTTCATTAAACAAATAAAAAATAATAGTGAAATAAAGTATGATTCTAAACCAAAGTAAATAGTGATATGGATGAATGCATGAACATACGAGATATGATGATTAAATAAATAGGATTAATTTAATTGACTAAATTTGATTTAGGGGACTCATATTAGGGAAACTTATCCATTTTACCTCTGGTGTTGGACAGCTCAAGCAAGGAACAAGATAATCATAAACCGCATTGTATTTTTATTTATTTTCATACAACCACATGTACGATTCTTTATGCGTTTTCAACTTTTGGAAAAGTTGATGACGAACAAGTGTGACTATCTTCTCCTTTATCGAGTAAAGTCGAAACGACTTGGTAACCACAATTACCGTCTCCCACAATATTGACAATCCGCTCGATATGTTTGCGCATAAAAACTGACATCTCGTCAATGAATGAAATCTTCGGTTGAAGCGGCGTCGGAGGTGGTTTGCTAATGCAGATTCCTTTTACAACACTTTTTTTTGAGATTTTGGAGTCGGTGAGTCGGGAAAAACTTTTTCATTCGATGTAGGCTTCATTTCCTTCAGAGCACCTTTTTTTTACCGGTTGAGAAAGTGGTTTCATGTCGGTGGTTTCAGGATAGGAAATATTGCTCAATTGTTCTTTGATGTGGAGTTTCATGTTGTCACCGGCCTTCGAAAATCTATCTTTTATCACTTCCCATTCGGTCAAAATAGAGATATTCAATTTATCGTCATCCATGAATTCATCATCATCAAACCTAAGTCTCTTCCAACGAGAGAAAACCTCGACCGTTCTTATTGGTTCACCAAGTTTCACCTTTTTAGCAATAACACAAGCACATGGAAAACCATATATTTTCACAATAGTGTATCCACACTTTGTGCTATCGGAGCCTACATTATAAGCTCGTTTAGCCTCGTGAAAAATATAGTTCAAACACGTCCGAGAAATGTTACCAACCAACTGAGAATATAAAATGTTATCTTTAAATATGTGTTCCAAAACCGTGATACTCCGACCAAATGTTAGATGCATCCCAATGTCTGTCACAAGGAGCATTAAGAAACTAGCTCACAATGCTCGTCGCAAATGTAATATATGGTTTGGTGACTGTAAAATAGCTGAGTTTACCAACAAGTCGTCGATATTTTCCCAGATCTTTCAATGGCTCCCTCTAACCCGGAAGTAGCTTGACGTTGGGATCCATAAGAGCATCAATAGAAAGACAATCAAGTATGCCAATTTTATTGAGAATGTCTAAGGTATACTTGTGTTGGTTAATTGCAATGTTGGATGAGGATTGGGAAACTTCAATGCCTAAGAAGTATCTGAGTGGACCCAAGTACTTTGTCTGAATTTTTTTGAAAATATGAGTTTTGAGATGTTGGATACCCTTTGTATCGTCTCCACTGACAACAATGTCATCAACATAGACCACAAGAAAGATGCGCCGACCAGAGGGGGAATGAAGGAAGAAAACAAAGTGATCTGCTTCACATCTATTCATACCAAATTGTATCAAGGCAGAGCTGAAGCGACCAAACCAAGCTCGTGGAGAATGTTTCAGCCCATAAAGAGAACGACGAAGCCGACAAACAAGTCTAGAATTGCTAGGAATAGTAAAACCCGACGACTGATCCATATAAATTTCCTCCTCAAATTCTCTATGTAAAAAGGCGTTTTAATGTCCAACTGATGAAGCGACCAATGATGCATGATAGCCATTGCAAGAAAGAGGTGAGCTGAACTAATCTTGGTCATTGAAGAAAAAATGTCGCCATATTCAATACCAAAAATATGTGTGTATCCTTTGGCTACCAAACGATCTTTGAAAGGATCAATCAGACCATATGGTCTAACTTTTATTATATAAACCCATCGACATCTCACTATAATTTTTTCTATAGGTAAAGTAACAATGTCCCAAGTGTTATATGAATGTAATGCAACCATTTCTTCCACAATCGCTTGACGCCAATTGGGATCAGTCATAACTTAACCTATAGACTTAGGATTATGCACAAAATCCAAAGTAGAAACAAAAGAAACATAGGAAGTAGAGAGATAATCATAATTTAAAACATAAGCAAATTTAGGATTAGGATGATGAGACCGAATACCTTTTCATAATGCTATTGGAAGGTCAAGTTCGGGTGACGTAACTAGAGGAGTAGTTGGAGTAAAAGATGGTGTTGGTGGATCAATATCATATTTTACCTCCGATGAATGATGTGTTTGTTGCTGCTTAACTTGCAATGGAGGTGTAAGGGCTACAATAGGAGTGGGGATGACAGAAGTACCATTCTCATCAGGTAACATAGAGGCAGCAAAAAATGGAGAGGTTTCAAAGAATATGACATTGGAGGAAACATTGTATCGTTGAAGTTGGGGACAAAAACAAATATATCCTTTTTGTAGACATGAGTAGCCTAGAAAGATACATTTGAGAGCTTTGGCAGAAAGTTTATTTTTACCTAGACTGATATCATGAACAAAGCATGTGCAACCAAAGGCACAAAGAGGAATGGGGTAGAGATCATATTGCAGGTTCAAGATAAAGTATGAGATTTGATCTTTAAGGAACAATGAATGCATTTGGTTGAAAGATGACAAGTTGTGAGAACAACATCAACCCAAAAATGAAAAGGGACATTATGGTGAAGTAAAAGAGTTCGTGCAGTTTCAACTAAATGACGACTCTTCTGTTCAATGACACCATTTTGTTATGGTGTGTGAGCACATGATGGTTGATGAATAATCCCATGTGATGTTAAACAAGATTGAAATTGGGATAACATATATTCACAAGCATTGTCAGTGCATAAAATTTTAATGGAAGTATCAAACTAGTTTTTAATTTCTGCATAAATGTTTTGGAATATATATGGAAGACATCTGAACGGTTTTCTTAAAAATAACCAAGTATATCGTGAAAAATCATCGATGAAGGTAACAAAGTAATAATATTCTAAAGTTGATTTGACACGATTAGGATCCCAAATATCATAATGAACTAAAGCAAAAGGCGACACAACACTTTTATTTACTCGTTAACAAAAGGTGTGACGAGTATGTTTGCTTAACTGGCATGATTGAAACTCAAATGAAGAAAGCTTAGAAAAACTTGGAACTAAAAGACGTGTTTTATTAAGGCTAGGGTGACCCAAACGTTGATGTGTAAGGATTTGAGAAGCAATAGAAACACATGCCACCAGTGGTGATAGATGATATGATCCTTTTGACTCACACCCTGTTCCAATTGTCTGTCTTGTACGTTGATCTTGGACATAAAGAAAATTATCAATAAACTAAATAGAATAATCAAGAGTATGAGTGAACTTTTTAACAGATATTATATTGAAAGGACAATCAGGAATATATAGCATAAAATCTAAAGACAAATTTGGAAGTGGGTGTGCTTGACCAAGACCTTGAACTTTTATTTAGAGCCACCCACCACAATGACATAATGTAAAGAATCAAAATAAGACTAGTTAGATAAAAGAAATTTATTACCAGTCATATAATTAGAGGCACTAGAGTCAAGGACCCAAGTACCAAGGGATGAGGATGTTGAGATAAAGACTACAATATTACCAGACAAAGCAATAGTAACAAAAAATGATGGTTGATAGGTTGCTTTGAACTGAAGGAACTCATTATAATCAGCGGCCGAAATAGTAACTTTTTTAGTGATAGTTGGTTGAGCAACATCAACCAGTCTTTACGTAATGTTAATATGTCCTGGGTTATTACCCATATTTATTAGAAAGGTAACTCTTGTGCGGATTTTTTTACTAGCTTAGGCTGCACCTACCATTCGCTAACCTTTTTGATGTCATCCTCATAACTATTAAAAGTGATTTTGTAAAAAACAGACTAGGGATGCGCTTTTTTAAATTTATTATTTCTTGAAATAGTTTTAACCTAGTCATCCTCTCATTTTTGTGTATCACTTTTTTTCTTTTTAATTTCATACCCTTATTAAAAAAAGGATCCCTCATAATAATATAATGTAGCAATGAATCTTTTTAAAAATAATCAAAATTGATACTTTAGAGTCTTTGAAAATTAATAGAGATAGATTTAGAATTTCTCATATTAGTCCGAGGATAATTCATTTGTAATTTTAACTCAAATTTCTTTAAAAATGGAGGCTCACCTAATGTATTTGATACTTCACTCTTAAATGAACAGTAGATTCGATTTTATACTTACATTCTAAAATTAGATTATATTAAATTAGATATTAGATTAGATGTTAGATTCATATATTTAATATGAATATAGAATCTTTTTAATCCAAAGTTATAAATATATCATTAAGTATGTTTTATTTTAATTTTTTATAAATTACGTTAATTATTTAAGAAGACATTCAAAGATTAAAAATCAAAATCAAAATCAAAATAATTAATAAAAGAGAATTAAGAATTAAAATGACTGAAAAACATTCAAAAACCTATTTACATTTACAATTTTAATACATTTACATACTATAATAATATTAATAATATAATACTCTTTTAATTTTTTTTATACAAATACTCTTTTAATTTTGATAAGTATAAAACGACTAGAAAAACGTGTGTTCAGTGCGACATGAAAACGACGCAGTTTTGATTGAGAAAAACTGAAATTGAATGCGCGTGAAACAGAGAGAGAGAGAGAGAGAGAGAGAGAGAAACTGGAATAAAATTGGGGATTTAGGGTTTGTCTTTGATCGAATCTTCTAATAAATCGTTCCCCGAAAATGGAATCCGAAGGTTATAACCCTTAATTATTGCTACCTTACCTCTCAATAGTTTTGTAATTTATTTATTAATTGAAAATATTACACAAAATGGTGCTGCAATTCGTAACCTTTGATGATGTTGTTTTAGGGCAAAAGGGTACGGTGAATCCGTCAGCTATGTTGGCTTCCTTGCTTAGTAAGAGAGCCAAGCTTCACGAAGAGCTTCGCAGTATTGAAAAGCAGGTAGCGTTTTCTATATTCGCATCTGGGTTTTGTTCATTGCTTCAAAACCAGTAGAAAACTATCTCTGACTATTGTATAAATTTTTTTTTTTTTTCAAAACATTTTTGGAATTTATTATGGAGAATTACTTCAATTTATTATTTTAATTTTACCTTAATTCAATTGTCAATACAATAGGATAATTGAGAAAACTAAAGTCTAACCTTAAGTTGGGCCTTTCACTTGCTCACTATGAAGCACTAGCACGGGACATCACCGACATTGACACATGTAATAATTTGAAAAAGTAAATAAATTGAACGTAATTGCAAGTGTTCAGACACATTTTTCAGAGGTGTCATTGCTACAGAGCTTGCTCAGGAATATCATGTTCATGTAACACCTCTGGATTGTATTGGCAGTTTATTGTTCTTTGGCCTCATGATTTTACATTATACTGATTTCTGAGGTTTCTTGTTGATTGGGGCATGCAGTGATGAATTTCTCTGGTGCTATATACATTATGCTCAAACCACATTTCCGTGCTTAAGTTTGACTAGTTTGATATTGGAAAAAAATTGAGCTTTTAAGAAGAATATTCTTTATGTTTTATAGCAAGTAGTTGCTAACGTTTTGTCCTTGAACGCAGGTTTATGATATGGAGACAAGTTATTTACAGGATCCTGGACAGTGTGGCAATGTATTAAAGGGATTTGAAGGATTCCTATCTTCATCAAAGAACACTGCATTGTATGAATCTCTTTCGCTTTCTTTCTTTCGGACTGAAACATTGATAGTTTTTTTCTTTCCAAGAATTCTCATGCTCAAATTACCCGCTCTTTCAGAACTTGTAGTTTATATAATATATTTAATTTCTCCTTAGAAGAAATACGATAATAGTTTCTGTCCGGATCTGTAGTTCTGAATTCTGATTATTTTAAGGTAAATAGGAAGGGTAATGTCATACTTGTATGATCTATATTAGGCACCTGGTTTGTTATTATACCTAATCATGAATCATATTTATTTGATATTTGGCATGGTTTTCTGTAATTTTAAATAGTTTATGGTCGGGAAAAGCGAAATCACGGGCTTTATTTACTTATATTGATTTCTAAAATGCTAGACACGGTGATGCTGTGCTGGAACATGGCTAGATGCATTTGCAATTGAATCTTACTAAGGTTTTAGATGGGCAATATAATTGTTTGAAATACTGACATGCCATGTTGTTATTCATGGTTTATATGACATTGTTGATTTTCTTTCTTGGCAGCTTGAAGCGGTCTAGAAAGTTTCAGCCTGAAGATAGGCTCTTTTCATTATCTTCAGTGTCTTCGCCAGCGGTGTGTTTCTGATTTTCAGGGCTTCCAACCATAAATAGATAAAAATAAATAATGTCCACTAGTGAGCACCGACCAAGTAATAACTAATGTCCAACCACGATGCTTATTTTTTCTGAATATAAGACAATAACTGCAGTTTATAATTTCCTCTTAGGCTCTTCGAGCATATGGTTGTTCTGTGTACTTGATCCCATAAAATTATTCATCCTTTTAAGCCTTTTATTGTCAATTATGTTTAACCATAGTCCATATATCAAGTGTGGAATCTTATCTCAGCAAGGTTATTTCTGAATTCTGAGATGATCTTCATCTTTTTATCGTAGGCAGAAGAGCTTGCGGCTGGACGAGATGGTGAGATCCTATTAGCAAAACTTCAATGACTTCTCTTGCATGTTTTTTTATCCACTAATTACATAATGTAATTTTGTTTATCTCAGACGGGAGATCGGATTTTGGTCCTGGTCGTTCAAAAGGTGGGACAATTTATGCAAATGGACAGTAAGCACTCAGCTATTGTGTCTCCGCTTTAATGTTTTTGAATTAATTGAAATTCGTTTCACAAATCTTGTCAAACATGTAAAAAAATGTATGCTGCGTAATCTAAAAATTTGTCATGTCATCATAGGGGTAAACCGAAGAAAGGAAGGGGTGCGCCAAGAGATGCGAAGAGAGTAAGGGTGTCAAGTGAACAAGATTTTGATTACGAGGATGAGCCTGAAATGACATTATGATTGAACACGCTGATGCAACTTTCTGTTAAACCTTGCGGAATGTAAGAGCCTGGAAAAACCTGCATCGGATAGGGCACTGGTTCTATGCAATTCCTCATTTCATGTATATATTTGTCTAGTTCTAGATGTTGTGGATTTTGTACTTAATTGAACTCTCTGCCTTATGCAAATTTTTGTTGGCAGGCTAAGTGATTGATTGTTTCATTAGATTTGTTATTGTAAACCTGTTCAAAACTAAGTTTGATTACCAACTTCTAGAAGTTTGTGTTATCTATTGTTTGTGGTGGGTATCTAGACTGATGGAGTACCATTTATACTTATCTCTCTCTTTTTTCTTGCTCTTACCTTCCCTTTGATTTTCCTCACATATATCATAAAATTGTTTTCACTTTTCTTTGTAGAGTCCTTATTTCAATTTCTCCATCTCTCTCTACAGATGGGTCACATCATATGGATGGAATTGGAAGATACTAATACCCCTGATCAAGAGGAAGAGCAACAATGTGTTGAGTTCCTTATTTTCTCCTTCCAGTGGCTGCCACTACCAATTGGGGTACAACTGCAAATATCAACTTCACAATTTTTGTTGAGTATATTTATTTATTGTGATGATTAGTTGAATGATTAAAAAGTTAGTTTGATTTATAGTGAATTAACAATAATGAGGCTTTTCCTATTTCGAGCTGCGACAACAAGTCCTTTAAGCGTGGAAATGATCTATTCTCACTCTCTCTTCTCCCTTTATTCAACCTAGCCGGCATCCTTTTTTTTCCCTTCAAAATTCAAACTTTAAGTCTTTACCATGTTGCCTTCCTTCTCGGTAGTGTGATGAGATCCATCCTCCGTACCACCCTCTTGTCAGTTGAACGTATTTTTCCATTCTGCCTCCGGTGCCGTCAACTAAATTTAAGGTGGTTCTTTGGCAGACTGATTCAATCTACTCTGGTGGAATGAGGGTTATGTTTGAGCCTCAAAAATGTGTTATAAGAGTTTCTTTTAAATTGTTGATGGTTTTAAAACCTGTTTCTATATAGCTTTCAAGGTGTTTAGGTTGACACCATCACAACAATTATTTTGTTCTATTTTATTGTCTTGATGCTATTTTGTGGGTTTATGTTTTCTCAGATATGGTTCGCTATGATTTATGCTTGTTTGGTTTGAAAGAACTTTTTATGTTTGCTTTGATTTCTCGCAGAGGGTTATTAGTACGTGAATTGGTTTGTGTTGATGGTTGATTAATTCGTCATTATTTAAGACTATGAAGGTCCATATAACACATTTTTTATATACAGATTCTCTAGGTGGTGCATGTGTTGTTGTTGTGTGTGTTTTCACTTCTTTATTTTAGACGATTATTGTTGTAATTGTAGTCTAATTGAGATGTTTACTACTTTTTGACGAGGTTTGAGTGAGTCAGTTTTTTGTCCCTTAATATTTTGTAGTTTTTTTTATTTTTATTTAATCTAATTGTGGTTTATAATTTTTTTATCATTATAATTTTGGCATAATCCTTATCATAATGATAGAGACATTATTACTATTCTTTTCTTGTTATTACAAGTAAACATTGTTTTCGGTTACTAAAATCTCATTTTGGTTTTAAAATGTTTACGTTCAACTAGATACTTACTATTCTTTTCTTGTTATTATAAGTAAAAATTGTTAAAAATTGAACATTGTTTCTGGTTATTAAAATTTCATTTCGTTTTCAAAATGCTTTCACTTTCAACTAGATAGCTCCAACTTTTGTGATAAGTATCAATGTTTATGTCTATTAAGTATAAATGTTCAGTTTTAGTTGTCTTGGTTAATATATCTGTAAGTTGTTTTTGAGTGCTGACATGAACATTCTAAGTACTTCATCTAAAATTTGATTGTGTAGAAAATGGTATTTAGACCAACTCCAATGAAAGTTTTTAAAGTGAGTTTGCTAACATGACATCCATATTTGTTGTTTTTAACATTGCCATGCTGTTCAACGGCATATAATTATGCAACGTTCTTCAACGGTTCTTATATTAAAATATTGATTTTATAATATGAAAATTATAATTTAATATAAAATTTTATTTATCATATGAAAATTATAATTATAATATTAAAATATTGATTTTATAATAAGAAAATTATATTTTAATTATTATTTTAAATTATAAGTTTAATTTGAATTTTATTTTATATTAATTTTTATTTATTTATTTAATATAAAAATTAATATGAATAAAATATTAATATATAAAGTAAAGTTGTGAGACCCAATATGAGTTCTTCAGAATTGCACCATTGGAGTGAAAAACTAATTGAGTTGCTTCAAGCTAACGTGGCTTAATAGGTCCCACAAAGAACCCAAAAATGGGTTCATGGTTGGAGATGCTCTTAGTATCAATGTCTTTGCTTCTTCCATGCACCACATGATTCTTAGTAAGACTTATGACATATTTGTTGTCTATCATCAACTTGACTTTTTACTCACTTTAAACTTCAGTTTCTGCAACAAATTCATCCGCCAAACAAACTGATAAGCTGATAAAGCATCATTTATGTATTCAACTTCACATGTTGACAATGCAACCACTGGTTGCTTCTTGGAGCACCTAGAAATGGAAGCTCCAATATGCATAAACAAGTATCCTATAATACTTCTTATGTCTACTCTGTTTTCACACCGGTCAGAGTTTGAGTAACATATCAGCTCATCATCATCTGGTACTCCAAGTGTGTACAAAATCCATGCCTCAAAGTCCCTTTTATATACTGCAGAATCCTTGTATCTTGGCAATGTGATCACTTTGGTTTACTCATAAACCTACCCACCATTCCAACTGCATAACATATGTTAGGTATGGTGTTACACATATATTCCAGACAGCCAACCAACTGTTTGAAGTTGTAGCATCTATATCATCTCCATCATTATCAGAGTCCAGCTTATGATTTGTCTCAACAGGTGTAACTGCTTACTTACAATTCACCAGCTCAAATTCATACTTTAGTTGGTGCACAAGAATTCCCTTATCTGAATGCAAAATCTCCATCCCTATAAAATATACCATATTTCCATGGTCAGTAATATCAAATGCATTTATGAACACCTTTTTAAACTTGATTATCTCAAATGTACATTTTCCTGTCAAAAGTATGTCATCCACATAAAGACACACCAGAATCACACTACCATTAAAAGTATGCTGCACATACACACCATATTTCATTTCACATTTCATGAATTCCCAATGCTTAAAAAAATGGACCAATCTTCAAAATTCCAAACTCTTGGAGCATGTTTTAGCTCGTACAAGGCTTTATGCAGCTTGTACACCATCCCTTCTTTGTTCACTTTCACAAATATAAGAGGTTGTAACACATAGACTTCTTACAATGGACCATTTAGAAAAGTCGACTTTATATCTAAATGTATTAGAGGCCAATTCCTATTTATAACTATAGCAATAACCAACCTTATGGTTTCATATCTAGCTATAGGTGCAAATACTTTAAAGTAGTATAAACCTGACTTTTGTAGAAATCCTTTAACTACTAACCTTACTTTATGCTTAGCAACTGAACCATCTGGCTTCAACTTTATATTGAAAACTCATCTCACATTGATGGCTTTCTTGTTCTGAGGTGGAATAGTCAAGCCCCAGGTCTTGTTTCTTTTAATGGCTTCAAGCTCTTCCTTCATGGTGTTCACCCACACCTTCTTCTTGAGAGCCTCTTTGATGCTGATAGGTTCAGAGTTCACCCTCATGGCAGTCTGCATGACTTCCCCTTTAAAGTCAATCTCAGTATCTTGCACCAACTCAAAGTCTCCAAGTTTCATTGGTATTTGTTTAGGTCTTTATGGTCTCTAGAAATCTTCATAAGCAGGACCACCTTTAGAGTCAGATCCACCATCAGAGTCAAAATCACCTTCAGAGTCAAAGTCACCTTCAGAGTCATAGTCATCTTCAAATTCAGACTCTCCTTGAAAGTAAGAATCTCCTTCAGAGGCAAAATCTCCTTCAAAGGCAGAATCCAAATCTAGTTTTGACATTGCACTAGAGTTGGATTGATACTTGCTTCAATCCCATGTTTTTTATTATTTCACTATGATATATCTACTGACTTCAACTTTGTTGGTGACTGTGCAATATAGCTTATAAGCACCTGTGAAATTCTGGCACGCAAATACCAGATGTCGAGACAGATGTCACAACACAGGGATCAAAACAGCTTGAACACACAAATAAAAATGCTGAGATTTAGATGACAAAGAATTAAAAATAACACCAGTAGTTGTTAACCCAATTCGGTACAACTCACCTACATATGGGAGCTACCAAACCAGGAAGGAAATTCATTATGATAATATTAGTTCAAAGCTAAAATCCCTCGTTTACAACTTCTCGCCTAATCCCTACCTTGTGTAATTTCTACCTAGAAACCTTCTAGATATGAAATTCCTCTCTCACTTCCTAATTAGTCACATTCCCAATGATAATTCAACAACAACCAACAATAAAAGTAGCACACTTCCAAGACAATACTTGGTTTTGCTTAAAATTTTCAATCAAGAACAATACACTCTTGTTTAAAAGCTTTAGAATGAACAGTTAACAATTAACAATCAGTCTACCTCAATGCATCATAAGATACATGAGTGACATACAAATAAAAAACCACACTAAACCCTAAAGACTAACCAAAACACAACTAGCCCTAATTCTCCAAATTACACGTGATTCTCTACTTCAATAGGGTTAGGTCTTCTCTTTAAATAGCCTTCTGTCCACTTGGGTTTGGGCTCTTGTAGCGCAATAGTACCAGGAATCAACTTTAAATCATAAGCATAAACTCCTGCACAATAATAGGAAAAAAATACAAAGTTTCCTAAAAAGGCTCAAGGATCCTTTTTATGAAAACTAATAGAATCTGTTAAAACAGAAGTTCCCACAAATATCCTCCCTTGGATAATGCAAATATGTGAATTAAAACACACTCAAATATCATGCTAAAAA